GGACCTCTAATGTAAAGTTTTGCTCTTTGTCTTTTGAAATATCTCCTCCTTTCTGCAAAGGGTTTACCTGATGAGCAGATACACTCTGTCCCACATAGTACCTTCACACAAAGCACCCCCAGGCTTCCCTCTTGTGCCAGCAAATATGTTCTTTGAATTGATGCCTGTCCTTTCGCTCAGCCACTACAAAATATAGCTTGAGGAAGCTAGATGTGTTTGTACTGATTCAGTTTATCTTATCGGTCTTTTTCAGATCCCTAAAGATAACAAACAGGAGCGTGACATTTCATTACCGTGGGTCAGCTGCTATCTGACAAATAGAAACACTGGGAGCTGAAACTCTGGTCTGCTCTATAAATATTGATTTATGCAGAAACTGAGATGGAAGTTAAATTAGTATGCTAAATTAGAAGGAAATGTGAGATTTTTGGTAACTGTTCCTTCTTTTTCTTTTTTTCTCTTTTTTTTTTTAATTGGTGATTCTTTTTGAATTGACTAGATTTATTCATACATATTATTATAGTGGTTTGCCACCACATTGGCATTGATACATTGCATATCCCTAAATTATCATTTTGGTTTTCTGTGTTGCTACTCTCTGAACAATTTTTAGTGTTTTTCTTGTCTTAACTGCTGACTGTCTCCACCCTCTTTCCTTCTGCAACTGATCAAATTCTGCAAAGAATTCTCCGCTTTGGATAGACTATCGCTTCCCACCCATGTGGTTCTTACTGAGGTTGGAAATATTATTAACTTTATTTAGTGTGGGGAAAAACTTGGCTAACCCTTCAAAACCATCTTTCAAGTCCTGTAATTCAATGAAGTCTTTATTTACAATGGTAATAGCTATTTTTTCCCAGTGCTGTCCAAACGGAGTTCTCTCTGGTTGCAAGAAAATGAAGCACTGTTTTCCATTTTCAGGGCAAAATGGTCCTAGTTTATTTTTTCAGTTTGGAGAAAAAGCAGCATAACCTTGTTTAGAAGGTTTTCTAGGAAAAGAAGCAGATGTGACTTTTCACATTATGTTATCTTTTAATGGCTTTTGTGCCAGGGATTGAGCGAGGAAGGCAGGCAGTCATATACAACTTTATGAGAGTAAAACTGTTGTTCTGAGACTTGGATTTTCATTTCTTTCTAGTCCTAATCCTTGGTCTTACACACAAGCACATGAGCACTGAATTTAAATTCTGTCCCTTGATTAAAGTGGTTTTGGTGTTTGTTTTTTTGTTTTTTGTTTTTTTTTCACAGTCAAAATCATCTAAGTACAAGACAATAATATTGTATGATGGTGTGGATAAAACCACTTCCCAAGAATTGTAATTTCAGATGTATACAGTGCCCCTGACAGAGGCTGGTTTTACTGAGGTCTCAGTTAGGTGTGCCTAAAGCTGTGCAGAGACGAGTGATGGTTTTTTTGCACAAACACAAAAAGTGTGAGTGATGGCACTATGGAAGATGTAAATGAAACCTTCAGAAAGATATACAGCACTGAAGCGCTGGCTTTCTTACCTTAGAACCCACCAAAGAGCAGCTGGAAGGAGATAAGAAACTCTAGATTTGAATAAAAATGTGATCTGGGGAAGACCTGTAACTTAGCATCATTCTTGGCAGTTTCATGGCAATCGTGTTGAGTTTCACTTGACCATACTAGCAATGTAATTACATCTTTGCCTGTCCCCTCTGACTCTTTCATATAAAATGAAAACATCAAAAAATGAAAGGTAGTTTTTTTCTTCCTGCAATAGTTGTGGTGTTTTTCGGAGCACTGTGAACAGGTTTGGAAGTGGCTATATTAAATTATTCCAGGTCATGGTTTAAGCTAAGTAGGAAAAAGGTTATTTGAAGAGTTTGCCTTATTTGGAAGTGAGATAATGGGCCTCCAAATAGGCTATAGCTCAGATCAAATCAATGCAAAAGGCAAAGAAAAGTCAACTCCATCCTATCCCAGGACAGCTACTTTGTTGTTCACATGTCAATTCTTTGGTTAGTCTTAGGGACCATATTTTTAAATCTTCAAGCAGTTATCAGACTGATCCCTAGATACTTCAGTAACTTGTTAATTTTCTGTATGTTTTGGTCTGCTGATAGCAATTGGCTTGATCCTATTCAGGATGTAAAAATACAATGAAAATAATGTATTTCAGTCTGTTTGCTAAGAGCCATTTTGCTTTTCAAAGCTATGAGCCAAGAATGAGATTATATGTGAAAGGTTTGCAGGACTGGTTATTAAAAGGTGATACACTAGGGAAGTTCTTTGCTGATTAAATGCAAAACCAGACAGAAATGCGGGCATCCCGGGAACGTCAAGTGCAGCAGACACAACAGTTGATTCAGAGGCATGCAGTCTGAAAAAGGAATTGACGGAAGACGGTATCAGGGGAATCACTAATAGGACGTAGCCTTTATAGCCAACTAGTTCTAATGCATATCTGGTCTACCATGACCAGTGTGCTCTTCAAAATAAATGAAATAGATGGCACCGTAGGTAACAGAGGTTGGATTCACCACCACCATCTGACTACATGCTCTCAGTGGCAGTGGGAAAGAGGTTGTGCAACACCTTGCTGCTGTGGCTTTCACTGTTTGCATCCACCTTGTCAGTTGTAAAGCTCGTCTGACAATCACAGAGTTCTGCTTGGAAAAATGTCTGAAAAAGCAATGAAATCAGGAAGGAGCTGTAAGCTCCATCATACCATTTTTGTAATAGCTGTTAAAATATGGGTTAATCTAGTTCAAGTGTATTAAATCTTGAGTCAAATAGCATAAAATATTTACTTAAATTTATCCGCAGCATAAGTATTTTGATGTGAGACAGCCTCTGAAAAATGTCCTTTATGTGGGTATTGCCTTCTGCTGGAGAGTTCTGGTTCTTGGACAGCAGCAGCAGATAACCCAACTCCTGCTAATAATTGCATTAATAAAGAAAAAGGAATAGGAATTTCCTGGAAAAGGATACTAGGAAGAAGTAGGAGACCAGATTAACTTCCTAGATGAAGTGGCTGAGTTATTTAAAGGATCCAAGTAAGAACAAAGAGAGATGTCTTTGCCAGAGAAGACACACAGATAGTGAAAAAAACGGTGCCTATGAAAGGTGACAACATCCAATTGCTCAAGAAAGAGAAAGCAGGACAGCCATACGGCCATCCTCTGTGTGTGCGCAGATAGTGACGGTGGATACATGAAGTGGCAGGCAAAACCTAAGAAGCTTGTAAGGACAATGAAGTTTGACAGGCAAGAATGAAAGGAAGACACATCTAATAATAGTGTGTGTTTAACCGTTTATCTCTCATTAAGGAAATAAGCAGCTCAGAAAATGGTCATAGTTAACTTACAGCAATTAACAGTGATGCAGTACCTTCTAAGACAGTGCACAGTCAGCATTTCCAGCACACGCTTAGGTAACGGCTTTGAATGTGTGTTTGACATGGGCCTAAATCTACAGCAGAAATTTCTGAAATGTCCTTTTCCCCTAGTGGGGTGCTTGTTTGTGAGTGTTTTAGAGGGACAGCAATTCAGTGCTTCGTGTACTTCTGTCCCGAAACAGTTTGGTGAATTCATTTCCAACTGCTAGGCTAAATGTTCCCAAAAATTCTTTTACTGGTTTTGCGCGGTCTACAAGTGTCGATCACAGATCAGGGCCTCATCAGTCTGGACTCTCAGACTTCTGAAAGCTAGGCACTGTGATTTTTACTACTTTTAAGTTCCCTTTCCTGCCCACCATTGCACTTCAAGTGTGTTATGAGCAAAGCAATAACTCCCACTCGCCTTTTCGCTGTGCTTCAAGGCATGGGTGAAGTTGGTCTGACTTCACTCTGGCTTAGAGCTGCAGGAGCTGACAGCAGCCCACTGCCTTTTTGTCTCTTCACACCTGGCAGCAGCGTGCTACTGAGTGGTGGCCACATGTAACATGTGCCAGCCCCACAACCTGCACATCCACTGCCTGGAAAGGGAAGGGTAAAATGGTGAATCTGGAGCTTCATCTGTACTGGTGAAGTCGGGGGACTGTGGACCTGTCTGCCACACAACGATAGGGGACGCTCCACCAGCACAGCTCAAAGTTTCCTAGAGATCCCAGAAGAGTATTTCATCACTTATTCTGACCCTCCCATATAAAGCAGTTTACAGTATTTCTCACGGTACTCTGTGGGGAGGGTTAAATCACAGCTTGGGTCAGATTTTACAATGTGGCTGTTCTCTGTCTTCGAGGTTAAGATTTTATACACTATCAGCAGAAAGCAGAGGATACTGGGGGTCCACTGATATCTGGAAAGGGACACCTGGTCAGTCCCTGAGCAGCCTGGAGCCTGCGCTCCATCAGAGCTGTATTCCAGAGGAGAAGAACCAGAGAAGATGGGAACCCTGCTCCCATCCCCACTGTGCAGCCATCCTACATCCGGTAATCCGGCACTGCCTTTGCTAACAACTACCTCACGGCAATGAAGAACAGACTTAGATGGGAGGTTTTCCTATCTGTTGCTGCAGTCTTTTCCCTAGATTATCTTTTCTTTTCTATCTGTATGATCTGGATATCTCTGTTTTTCTGCTACTAGGACTTGTGCCAAGAGAAGACCCGAATGAAGTTGATCTTGAGTTGATCAACTCTGCACCCCAGTCACAAAGACCCATGGCCCTTGGTGCTGTCTTAAAGGATCCCTGCAAGTGACTCCGCCACAACAAAAAGACATCCCTTTTCTGCCTCTGCCTACCCAAGTGTACACCGTTAAATCATGGGCCCTACAGCGGGTCTAGATCATGCTCTGCAGCTAAGCAGTAAGTAACTAAAGCTTCAAGCGTCCTGCTAACAGAGCGTCATCCCAGCATAATCCAGGCCCTGACTCAAATTGACAAGGACAGGTTGGCCTATGAAATAATCTCTTTAAATAGCAGCAGCCATCTCTCTCAAAGGCACTTCCCTCCCCACACCAGCGCTGGAGAGCTGCTTACAGCACATCACCCACTATTTCACACCCAGGCATTGCAGGGCTGGCACTTCTCACAGGCAAGTGTGTCCCCTGCCCACAGTCTTCCAGCTTTGCTTTGCACCAGGAATTACAATGAATTTTGCAGCACAGTTTCTCTACTCAAGGGTGTTAAAAAACAGAAGTCCCAGGGAGCGCTCCAGGGAAGATGAAGACTACGATCCGTTCTGGCAAAGGTTGGAGAATATTGCTGTCTGACTTAGAGCTAGAGTGCTCCTTTCTCCCCCTCAGGGGTCATGGTCAGCCCTCGGGGTCCACCCAGGGCCAGACCCACGGACATGACAACCCCTGGACCCCTCCTGCCTCCTTATGGTGTCGTAGTTGGAGTTTTGCTTCACCTCGTTGTTTATCTAGTCGCTGTATTGTATAGGTAATGCTTCTTTTTCCTTTCCTTTCTAAAAAAAAGAAATTAATTTTTTTTTATAATTTTCTGGTATCTCCCAGGGTTCTGTGGTTCAGTTGCTCTTGGGGTCATCCATTGGGACCAGTGGAACCATGAGTACTTTAAGCCCATGGAGTTTAGCCTTTTCATTTCTTCATGAGTATAGTGTTGGGAGTAACCCGAGGAAGGTCAATAGACAGCTGAAAACTTATCTTGGGATGACTTGTATCAGATCCCATCACTACAGATTTTCTGCAGTTGTCTTTGTTATGATGCTTGTGGTGGTCTTGAGTTCCTGTTTTCGTGTTTAAATGGCACAGAGGGAATTTGGGAAAGGTCTAGTGCCCTTGCGTAGCACCAGCTGGGAGGTGTACACCCATGTGACATGGTTGTGTTTTCACAGCCTCACTCTTAACCTTTTCTATAGTTGTTTTCTCCACCAAGTTTTGTATCTGGACACCACTAGGAAGATCACAACCTGATGTTGCCAGATGTTGTGTAAACAAGGGGCAATTCTTATTTATTCCATCCTGCAGATGTTGGTAATATTTAAAACATAAATTGTTTCAGTGAACTCAATGCTGTTAATAAACCCTCATGGGACACCAAAGGGGAAGAAAAAACCCCAGTTCCACATTGAAAAAATTGCTTATCCAAAGTCACACATGATATGATGTGTTATGCAGTGAACTGAGAATCTTAAACCAGTCCTTTTGTCACAGGACTGCTCTTTCCTCTAGTTTGGGTTATGCTAGTCATTCTTAACTGCAAGTGAACTACAGAGATGTGCTAATTGCCAGAGCACCTCTAAACTCAGAATACATTTAACTTAAAGAGGAAAAAAAGTTTGATTATTTGAAGAGTTTTAACTGCCAAACTGTTTGCAGTGTTTGATAACGTTAATTTGACATTCGCAGCTGTGAATGTCCTTGTAAGAGCTGCTTAGAGGGGTGGGTCTGTTTGAGGGACTCTTGGAAGGTGTTGAAGCAGAGGTAACCAAGAGGGGTGACCTTCTGAGTTCTTCTTGCTTTCAGATTACATTTTCTCATGTTACCTATTTAGCAGCTGACACTCAGTTCCCATTGCCAGCAGTAAGCAATGACGAGTAGAGTGTACGGAAGACTGGCAATAGATTACGACCACAGATAAAAGCAGATCTAGTACTAGGGTCAGGGACTGGTAAATCTGACTTACAGAATGTAAGGAGATATTTTATCAGAAGTGATTCCCTGAAGGAGCCTGAGCTTTCTTTGCATTTGTTGCTGGTGTAGCATCACACGGTTTTGTCAGACCTGTATGCGGTGAATAGTTATAAATGCCTGCTCAGTCTCAAGGTTTGGTTATTACGTACCTGTCTATGTTGGATGGTCACAGTGCATATATCCCCTAACATTTGTGTCATACAGGCTAGTAACTAAACCCTGACCTCTTCATCTTTAAGACGCCCTGATGAGTAGCCCTGCTACAGGCTTCCTGCAGGAGCCTTAGCCAAGTCACTCAATCTGTCTGTGCCCCAGTTTCTATCAATAAAGTAAAACTATTTTTTACTGAATTAGTCTTTCTGTTTAGGAGAGGAAATTGGTGATTCCTATGTGATTTAGGAACAATCACTTTCCATAGGGTTTGAACGCCTAATGTCAGAAATACATTTTAAATTTCCATCCTATAACTGCTGCTAGTTGGGGTGAAACAGGTGTTTCTGAGTACTAGTGTTAACACAAAATAATGGTAATTTGGGAAATCAGTGTTTGAGTGTAGTATTGCCTTTGATCTGTTTTAACTGTACTGTCAAAGAGAGATCTGGCGTGTTCCTTCCCCATGCCTGGGGGAGTTTACTTGTCACCCTGTAGTCCTGCAGAGGACACTCAGACACTATACAGTGCAGTACTGTAGAATTACTACCAGTGAAGATGACAGCTGTTATGATGCTCCTTGACACTGGTATCTCAGCAAGCCTCAATTTTTCTATCATTTCTCTTTCATAAATACTTGCTTGCACAAGCTACTGAGATGCTTTTAAGAATTGCCGCTATTGCAGCTTTTGGGAGAGGATTGGGTGGGATCAGCCAAATTTTGCAAAAGTAGGGGACCTCACAGGGCTTTACACTGCCAAAAGGAGTTGGGATGGAACAGGAGTGTTTAGGAGCTGCTGGAAAAGGCAACTGCAACAAACTGGGAAGGTATCAGAGGGGTGTGGAAGGCTCAGGCATCTGGAAATGTCAGAAGAGATGGTGCTGGAGACATGGAATAAAAAGGATTAATAGAAGTGGAGAGATTCTGGGTAAAAGAGGGGTTTGGATGATGGAAAGTGCCCTCTCTGACATATCCTGGGATTATGGCTTTCTCACTCCTTTGAGAGGAGATCCCAGCCCTAGATACATCTTAGTCATAAACCGAGCAGACTGCTACCTGCAACAGGCTGCTTCCCTCTGCCTCACCCCTCCCAGTACATATATACATAGAATTATAGAATGGTTTGGGTTGGAAGGTGGAAGGGGCCTTCAAAATCATCTAGTTCCAACCCTCCTGCCATGGGCAGGGACAACTTCCACTAGACCACGTTGCTCAAAGCCTCATCCAGCCTGACCTTGAACACCTCCAGGGATGGTGCATCCACAGCTTCCCTGGGCAATCTGTTCCAGTGCCTCACCACCCTCACAGTAAAAAAAATTCATCCTAATATCTAAATCTACCCTCTTTCAGCTTAAAACTGTTACCCCTTGTCTTATCACTACACTCCCTGATAAAGAGTGCCTCCCCATCTCTCCTGTAGGCCCCCTTTAAGCACTGGAAGGCTGCTATAAGGTCTCCCTGGAGTCCTCTCTTTTCCAGGCTGAACAATCCCAACTCTCTCAGTCCGATTCACTGGAATGGTCTGAAGAGGTATTCAAGCTTAACACTAGTTAGCTTGCACTGTGCCACTGATCAGTCCAAGTTAGGCACTGGAGTTTTAAATTCTTGGCATGACATATACCTCTAAGGATACTAAAATACAATACAGAACTTCAACCATACTGTTGGTCCCTCTTCCTTCTGAGCGTGTATCATTGTGAATGCAGATGACAAAAACTGCTGTGGAAACGACAAAGAAATGCTGAGTTTTCAGTCTTACATTAAAATGTCTTTGTTTCCTTTTGTGGCACCTGAATTTCTATCTGTGAAGCAGCACAGTAACATTGGAACATGTGTCCATAATTCCAGCTTAATTTCTGCCTCAAAATGTATTGTTGTGACTCATTTTGTAAGAGGTCTAAAAGCTGCCAAATGGGCCAAAATCTGACATTGGGTATGTCTGCAAATTAAAATGGCAACAGTGGGTGAGACCAAAGAGCTGTCTACCTCTGTGTCTCCTCTGTAGTGGTAGCCAGTAACAGGGGCTTGGAGAAAAATGAAAGCTGCATAAGATGCGTTCTCTCATATGGTCTCATGGAGTCTGCCAAGTGTGTGCTTAGGGGCTTCCTGAACCACAGATTGCTTCTTGAACAGTGTATTTATTGGTCGCTGTTAAACCTACCACCATACAGTTGCACAGTTTTTTAGGAACCCATTTATACCATTGCCTTTCACAGAATCCTTTGGAAATGTGTTCTGCGAGCTAATTATTTCTGTAAGAACAGAACTTTAAAATGTTCTGCCTGGTACTTTCATATGAAATACCCCTAACTTTTATACTGGGAGAAACAGTGACTAATATTTCTCAGTTGGCTATTGCCTGGACATCCATGACTTTGTAGATTTTTTTAGTTCTTCAGCTTTAGAAGCGGAGGGGATCCAGTATATTAATTTAATGTGTTTAGTCTGTTGCATATGGATCCTGAGGAAGCCACTCTGCATGTGCTTCATCTGACGGGAAAATGTAACTGTCCCATCATTGCAGAATAACTGCATGGGCAGGTCTTTTTCCCTGCAATGAAGGCAACAATTGATGTCCCCAGGTATAGTATATGCTACTACTGTATTTTATCTTCCCAAAATTATTTTTGTTGGTTTTATTAATTTCTTGGTGTATTAGTATCACTGTTTTTCCAAACTTGTTTTCCCCAGTGCTAATTAAACTTGATAAAAATTATCAGTATATTTAAAAAAACCAAATTGTAAACAGAAAAATTATTAATTCCCAGTTGTTGCTTTTTATCATTCTAAGGGTACATTTCAGCACACGGTCTCTGCATTGGCCTTAAGACTTCTAACTATGCAAAGCTATCTACTTAAACAAATTATATTTTTTTCCAGTTCCTTAATTATTCATGGAATGTCTGCATACGGATCTTCTCTTTTATTTTTTGCAGTTATGCTGAGCAGCTGTTCTTGAAAAAGTAGGTTTATAAACTGTATTTTCATGTTTGCTTTTACTAATCACTTTAAAGGTAAAATGTCGTTATTTATAACCATGTAACAAAGCTTGCCAGCTGGATATTTCTTTTATGGCTGAAAATAAATAGACTTTTTCACGAAAACTCTCTGAGACAAACTCCAAAAAAGGAAAAGTGATTAATTTGAAAGGAGAAATGTTTTATTATGCTGGGATTTGTATTTATATTGGCTCAGATTTTCATCTGTTGGGCATGATCACTAGAACACGGCTCATACTTTTGTTACTCTGCATGAGAAGTCACGTGCTGTCTTTTTGTGAGCACTTGCATGCTTTGCTGCCTGCTTTGGCTGTTCCTGAAAAATAAATTCATACTGACATAGTCTACACCAAGCTTACAAACTGTGTTTGAGGAGAGAAATGCATCTGACCCAACATGATTATTAGTTGCCTCTTTGTGACGGATTGTCAAACCTAAACCCACTGTTTAGCTTGGGAGTTTCAGAGCTCTCGCTTTGTCTGTGGCACACCCAGATGGGTTCAATAGGGAAAAATGTCATTCACTAATGTAAATTTAAAATATTTACATAGGAGAAAAAAATTAATCTGAAATAAATATATGCAATACACACATATACAATAGCATGATGATATTCATTTGGTTATGAGGCAGATGACCTGTCAGAAGCAAAAGGATGATAGTTTTCATATGAAATGTTGAGATGGTAATGTTTCAAATGTGCTTTAAACCCATCTCAAAGTTGAAAAGCCTACCCATATTTTTAAATCTATTTGACTATTGTTCTTTTTTTCCAATGGTCATAAGTTGTTGTCTCCATCAGGGTCCTGAGCAGATGTTCACTGGTCATGAGAGCAGTGCTGCAGATCAAGGACTGAGAATTTGATTTATTTCTCTCCTTTGTTCTGCCAAAAAGAAAAAAAAAAAAAAGAAAAAAAAAAAAAGGAAACCTAAGAGTAGGGCCAAAAATCGGTACCCCTTCTTGGTCTTTCTATTTGCAGGTAAGAAAATATTTATTGGCACTAGTGTGGTATGGAGTTAGTGTGATGGAAATATCATTCATTCCTAATGTTTGCTACAGGAATCCTGGTTCATCAGTGGACTTTTTGTGGTCATCTTTGGCTGTGATTTTTATGGATTTTTGTAGCTGATTGCAACAGATGCAAGGAAGAAGTGTGAGTTTATCTCCTATCTCAAAGTCCAATCAGTAAAAAAAAAAAAAAATTACCCACAAAAATCACAAGTTTTTGATCTACCTGTATATTTTTACCTTTACGTATACTGTTTTAACCCATTGCCAATCTAAGAAATATCATTCATTCCTAATGTTTGCTAAAAGTTTTATATAATACATTTAGAGATAAGATGTTCTTCTCTTTTTGGAGTGGTTGGAGGAGGAAGAGAGGAGGGAATGAACTCCTAGCAGAGACGTGGCCTCTTAGATTATAATAGCTGTTGTCTACACAACAGTCCTGTTTGGTTCCCAGAATCATGGGCTGTGCTGTAACAAGTTCATGGGGACACAGTCTGATCTGATTCTCATCTTTGCATTAAGCTAATTAATATGCATGAGAACTAACACGGGAAGCTTAACATCTTCATGAAGTGTTTCAACCCTCTAACACCAAGGGAGCAGAAATGCAAAAAAGTATGGAATAAAGCACCTTGACAAACTATTTAATTTAAAGAAAAAATGCCTACTGTTTGGATGTATCAACTTTAAGATATGCTATTGGGAAAATATTTTAAATCATAAATGTCAACATAAACAAGTTACAAATGTGTAAATACTTTATTTATCTTAGAAAATTAGTCTTGAACTCATTAATTTTGGAGAGAGAAGACCTTGCTACAAAAACTGTCCTTTTTTGTCTCCTGTGAGGATATACAGAATGACTGATGCTATATCACTTGATTCAAATAACAAAACCGCTTATGCTGCCCATTTTGTTATGTGAAGTCCTCAGTGGAACAATTGGAAATGTAATGGGAAGCAGAGCTATTGGCACAGACTATGGACCACAAAGAAAATGGATGATACTGCCAAAAGCAGCTGTTTCTAAATTATTTTTTTTTTAATTATCACGGTGCTTATTACAGCGGTGATTGCTGCTGTAGAACCAGGGCAACATTTTCTTTAGCCAATCCTGCTGATGAATAACTGCATAACTTAAATTCAAATCATTCTGTGAAAATGGTAAATAATTTTTTGTTGGAGATGATGCTGAAATCTCTGACATAATTTAACATGTGTATTTTCTAGAAATCCTTTTCTTCCAAACAGATTAATATTGAGTTCTTCATGTAGAGGGGCTTATACCATCTGTGTAATCATAGCCACAGACTGGAGGTCATGTCAGCTCTTTTCCAAATTACTGGTCTTCTGCTTAATGCTTCTTTCTCCCCACATTCTCTGCAAATTCCTAAAATTCCTAGAAGTTTTGCATTTACTTGCTAGTAGGGCTGTGATATCCTATGCTGTAGTATATTATCCTTTGTGAACTCCTGAACAGTGTGGACCATAGAGTAAGACAGATTAAGGTAGGAAAACTGGCAAATTCTTGTAGCAAAATGTTGTCTCTCTGAAATTCCTTGGAGAAGGAGGTTTGTGTGGCAGCATAGTGTCATCTTATCTATGGGTGTTTTTATCTGTGAAGCACTAACTCACAGATCAGGAGACCTAGTTCTTTAAATCTGTAGTAGGTTATAAGTGTTATCCCTCATCAGAGTAATTTCCTTCCCATCACGAGGCAGCTGATGACTGTAAAGAGTATGCTCTGCAAGTATGCCAGAGCAGAGGAGCAGACCTCTTGTGTGCAATGTGATAACATTTGCTACCTCTATTAATAGTATAAGGGAATGGGCTGCAGCAGCTATTTGCCTTTTTTTGAAGAACACGGAGTTGCATACAGCTACTACAATTCCTGTTATTCAAAAAATTTCTGGAAGCACTGAACTGTGATCACTGCTGCTTGAGTACTGAGGAAGGTCTGGCTGCCCAGACAGCATGGGTTATATCTATCTTACTTTCTTGGGTATGACAGCTTCCCAGTTTGTCTACATGCCAGGTTATCTGTGGCTTTTCTTAAATCTGGCTGGTTATGGTCGCTTTCATTCCACCTACAAGGCAATACGACAATAATAATTCAGTCTGCCTATTTGAGACTTGTGAAGAGCAACTGAGATGTGCATCCTTCTTAATGCTAAATGTCAAGCCTTTAATCATTCAAGCTTTCCTAACAAGTTTCTTTTATTTGTTTTCAGGGATGACAATAAAATAAAGAAACAAGATTCCCCAGCACTATGTGATCTTCACTGTTGTAAGGATAAGCCGATAAGAAATGGCCTTACTGGGCAGAAGCCACCCTCTATCAATCCTGAGAGACTGAAAGATTTTGGTGAGGAGGATTACCTGAATGGGGATGTGAAGACCTGGGAAATGAAGATAGTGAGCCGTAATGAGGAGTTACTTAGGGATGCCCTTACCTGCATCCCTCAGTCAAGCAGTAGGACCAGCCTGTCAAGCTGTAACAAGCTGATTCGATTTGAAGATATTAGTGCAGCAGCTTTCAAAATCCAGTGCGGTGTTCAGAAAACCCCCTGCATGGTAGGGAGTCTTTATGGCTTTGCATTCTCTCAATGTTTAATTTATTTTCTTTATAAAAGTTGATCAGAAATGAAGGAAGCATATGTGTGTTGCAGCAGATAAATCTGTGTAAGATGACTCATGTTCATATTTGTTGTTGTTAACTGTCAATAATAATTTTCTTCTTATCTGTTTACACTAACCTAAATTACTCAGTCATTCAAAGACTGCAGTGACCTGTAAACAAAGGATAAACCACATCAGAAGTAGACTTAATGCACTGCAGTATTAAGCTCCTATTGAATAACTCTTGCTACAAAGAACCTGATCTGGAAAAGGCAGACTGTCAGTGTTTGGGCAAGCAGTCTTATGGGGGTCTCGTTTGGAAGCAGCCCTCATATTAGGGCAGTTTGAAGGTACAAATTTTCCTTCCTAGCCTGTACATCCTGGTAAGGCTGGATAAGTTACGTAACTAGGTGGTTCTGCCACGTGCGTCCTCAACAAAACGAGGACATTAAGATATACACACACAAATATACACACCTATCGATCAGCTGAGGTATGAAAATGACTGGGACACTTCTCCCATAAACGTAAAAGCATTTGCTAAAGTGTAAGAGAAGTACAGTGGCAAGCTATTTAATTCATAGTGTATTTCTACTGCTGGGAGCTCTTCATGAAGGCTACTCTGTGGCTAATCTCTTTTCCCTGTGGCAGGTCAAAAGAGGGTCTTTGCCAAATGGCAATTCACAGCAGCTGCCCCAAAATGCTCTCTCAATGAACCCCTCCCTGCTGCTGACCCGTGGCACCCCACCAGTGTCACCAGGTGTGGGTTGTCTTTCTGTCCTGCACAGGGAAAGGACATCGGTGTCTGAGACACTGCTTGGAGATAACAGTCCCTGAAGGAAAGCAGTTGGGTCTGCAAGGTGCAGCAGCTCTCCTGGTTCCCAGGTGGTGCCTACTGATCCAGAGACAACATAACTACCTTTGGTTGGTATTTTCAGTTTACAGTTCCCAAAATCATAGAATCAGAGAAATAAGGATGGCTACGGTTTTTGCAGCACACTACTGAAGAAGTGTCTCATGACAAATGGTATGATACAAGACTGTTTGGGGCTATAAGGTAGCACAAAAAACTTGCAGGGTAGTGTTGGCTGGACTGCAGGGAGTCAAACTGGATGTATTTTGCATTCATATCCTGCCTGTTCAGAGTGACTCAGGAATAAAAACCATCCTGCCAACTGCACCTGGATTTCCTTTCAGAGTGGAAAAGTTGGCTTGCTCAGGATGGTTGCGGGGGGAGTGAGGAAACAACGCGTGCAGCACGGGTGGTCAGAGGGCCAGGGCCGAGTGGACAGAGGGAGCATACCACACTCTGCACATTCCATCGTTTGTCACCACAACTCTCCGACTCTCATGCTTGAGAGCACAGTCAGTACTCTAGACAGAAGTGTCAATCTTCTGCTTTTACGGAGAGACTGTCCCAGGAAGAGAAGATTTGCATTTATCTTGCAGATAGCCAGCATTGCACTTCTCGGTAGTTGGCAACTCTGGTCGTATTTGTTAGATGGATTTAATCTTACTATACAAAGGTAGGTCCACAGGCAGGGAGAGGGACAGTGTCAGGGCTTAATTTGGAAAGCAGACTAGCTGGCTTCGTGCCCTCTGATAGCCTGGATCATCCCTTCCCTGCAGCTCATGGCATTGTGCACTTCTGCCAAATGAATAAAGTCTATCTTGGCTCCATCCCTGAGCCATGTCCTTGCTCTCAGCATATCTTAACACAGGAAGAGGCGAGACTGCACCACTGACTCCATCTTCTGCTCCTGCCCGCTTCTGTGTAATAGGAAACTTCTCATAAACTGATCGTGCCTCCTGCTCACAAGCAGTTAAGCTCTCTTTGGCCAGTTCACACCATTTGTTCTCAGGCAGCTTTGCCCCTCAGTTTAAATAGTTCTTCTCTTTTGTGTGTCCCTGGCAGATTTATGCAACATGCTTGTATCCCCTTTCAGCATTTACTGTGCCAAGCTAAACAGGCTAACTTTCTTTAGTCTTTTTTTTTTTTTTTTTTTTTTTTTTTTTGTAATGAACTGTGCTTTTGGGATGATCAGAATAGCGGAAAACCTATATCGTCCCTTTTTTTAGTGTGAAAATAGCCCACGACTGTTGCAATTCAAAGTAATGTTCCCACAGAAGTCATTACTATATGTTTCATGCACTGATTCAAAAGGAAAGTATTGAATTAGAGTGGTGTCAGGAAAAACACAGATAACCTTTATTTTAACTCATCACTGAGAGGTAAGAGCTCCTTTCAGGGACATTTGTTTGGATTAAAACAGTGAGCATGCTTATAATCCATTCAGTTAATTGAATAGAGAAATGCTTAGCAGGGTGATTCCTAATATGCAGGTAAGACCATGGATGGGGCATCCTGGATCCTTATGCAGGAGTTTGCCTGGAGCTGAGATATGGCATCGTGAATGATTGTAACAGATGTTACAGAGGTAGCGAGTATAGGAAAACAAGGAATTGGCATCAAATTGGGCACTTGGTTTGGTTACTGATGTAGGAACTTTAAGGGCTGTTTTGTGTTAGCTTTGTGGATGCCAGATGGAGGCTGTGCTGCATGTTGTACATTGGACACAGTATCTGTAGTCCTTAGATAAAATCACAGTGACAGAAGGGAAAACTCACAGGCTGGTCCAATGAGTCTTCCAAGGTCACACATGAAGTTAGTACAGCTGAAAATAGCACTGATATCTCCTTTCTTAGAAGTAATTGCTATATTTAGGTTACATGGAAAAAAAACCCCTCAGTTAAATGAAGCAGAAAAGGATAACCTAAAGAGTTAAAATATTATCAAAATTAAAGAAAAATAATAATAATCTGAAGTACACCACCTCTGTGATAAAGAGTGACTTAATGACACACTTTTTTAAGGTTAGGAAACTTAACAACTTTATGAAGTCACAGGATTCATCTTCTTAAACCCTTTCCTCACTGTTCATTCTAGAATCCAAGACTCTCTACAAAACCAAAACTAGTACAGTATGTGGAGAACCAGTAAAGTAGTGTTTCTTGTCTAGTGTTCTTGTTGTGTTTTGCATAGGTATTCTCCATTTCTCCATAGGTTAGGCTGTTTAGCATATAAACTATTATCCCATTAGTGTACTAAACACTGCCGATTCTTTCAATTCTGCAGCCAGATTTGCAAAGGAGCCGCAAGTGGCAGTTCCTATTGCAGGATTTTCAGAGGGAAAATAGAGAATCTGGCCCCACCTATGGGTGAGGAACTTAATATAGGCTTGTAAATCAACTAAAAAGCCTTGAAACATTAATCTTAAATATTTATTTTAATTCTATACCTTAAAGCAAGTATCTGTTTCACATATATTTAGTTTTCATAAATTCACTTTGAAAGTACCACAGTTTGAAAAATGTCAGTATATATTACTATGTACACTATACACCATATGCATGACACTGCCAAATACTTTTTGAGATAAATATTTAAAATATATTGTCATGCTGTCTTTTAATCTATCTGTCTTTGTGACTTATCATAAATGAGGGCTTGATCCCCTAAATCCCCAGGTCCTCATTTGCTTCGGCGGAGGCCAACGGGAAAAACAGAGTCAATTATGAAATAGAGACGCAGTAAGCACAGGGAGCTGGAACCCACAGGCTTACTGCAGCTCTATTTCATAAGTTATCTTGTTTAAAACTCTTGTTTTAGATAATAGGAAATCAATATGGTGATGCTTGCTGTGAGAGTCTTGCTATAAAAATTGATAAAAGTTTGCCATTAAAAAAAAAAATCATGCACTTGCTAATTCTACTCAGCTTGGGGATGCTTTCTGTTCCAAACACTGAGCATTTTCAAACAGCTGCTGCTTACACTTGCAATCCTGGGAAATATTTTTATATTATTTCCATCATTCTTCAAATAAGAAACATCTTTACTAATGTCGTATTGGCCTTAGGATGCAAAATGGACAATATTCAGTAGTGAATCAGTGGCAGAAACCATAGCAGAGTCATAATGGGACTCAAGGAGCAATTTTGTAAGTGCTTTTGTATCTATTGAGATGAGATCTTATTTTTTGGGTATTTGATATTCAGTTCTGGCCACTGCTAAAATATCAGACCATAGGGTAATTTTTGAAATAGTTGAAAATATTTATTTTAGTATCTATATTTGTAGTGTAAGAGCAAGACAAGTGCTATTTTCAGAATTCATAATGGCATGGGGTACATATTTCACTGCTGCATGTTTGAAGAGTACTTCCATAAGCCAGAAGAATCTGGTATGTAACAACAGACTGTCATGTATTTCTGAAGAAACAAATTATGAAATTAAATTTTTAGAGCTCATACATAGCAGTTGAATGCATGTCTCACCAGGAAGCTGGTGGGGTGTAGAACATTTTTATTAATCTTGAATACATCCCCATATTAACATTTCTATACTCCAGTATTCTAGGCTATCCAAGCAGTATGGAATGGACATCTACCTAAAGAAAGAGTTCCTCCAGTACACAGGATCGGTGAAAGAACGAGGTGTACTTTACCTTCTGACATCATTGCCTCAGGTATAACAAAATGTCAGCGTTCAAAAAGAAATAGATTAATTCTGCTTCACAAAAATTGAGCAGAATTAAAGATCATTTTAGCTGTAATGTCCAAGAAATCGCAGTCTTTCTTGCCTTCTGAACCATTGTGCTCAACAACAGAGATAGGTCTGCAAGTATCTGAATGTAAAATACTTTCCTTCTTTATTTACACTTGGCTGGTCTGCTAGTGAAATGCTTAAAAATATTTGAAAGAAAAGCTTGCAAACTGTAAACATCAGTGGTTTTCTGTGGCATGTAGATGAAAGTCTTTGTATGCACACATGGTTCTGACATGTTGAAACCACTAAACTTTCAGTGATGATGAAATTGAGTTTCATTGGGTGATGAGAAGGATCTAGATCACCAATTAATTTTGTAATGAATTTCAGTATCATTACAGGAATAGCTTGTTTATCATTTGTCATAGGAAGTTATTGAGTCTCTGCTGCAATAACAATTATACTTGTTATGACAGAGCAGCCCAGCAACAGTGGTTATTCCTGCACTTTTGTAATAGTATTAATAAATCCTTCTATTAAAGGGAAACCTTAAATTAAATAATTTCACACAGGCAGGAAAGAAGGACCAGATATCGGCTCTGAGGGGCCAGATATTGGCTCTTCTGGGATTAGCTGGAGTTTTGCAGCTCATTTTGATGGAACAAGAATTGAACCCAGAGGAGTGCAGAAGCAGGGATTGATCTTGTGCTGTGTGAGTCCTGACATCACACAGATGTGCATATACTGTATCATAATATCATAATATGATCAGCTAGTTAGGGGAAAATAGGGAAGTCAGATCATTAGAATGATCCAGGATCACATGGGACAACTTTGTGACACTATATAATGTGCAATAAACAACCCTGTTTTTTAGGATCAGCAAAGAAAAGGGGTGATCGTGGCTTTGGACAGTAACTTTTCCATGGCTGTTGCTTACCACGCCTCAGAGCTCCATATTCCAGTGTTTGTCATCATGTCAACCAGCACATCCCCGGCCAGAGTGAAAATGTGCCGTGAGTACGGTGCCATGGTTATATCCTATGGCACTACAGCTAAGGATTCCCAAACACATGCAAGAAGGTTGGCGCAGGAGAACGGTTACCTCTACCTTGAAGAGTAAGTGGAAAGACAGGCTGATTAGAAAGATTAGATGAGTTACTTGCGCAGCTCTGCAAAAACAATTGTTTCATTAAAATTTGATCACAGGTCTTCAGAATGTTCCCAAGTTACATACTCCCAGGCACAAATCATGAATTTTTCTATAACAGCTGGGGATGGAAACCAAAATGAAACACTCTTCCCCCAAATTAGGCAAACTTCCTGATCAGGAATTATATGGGCTAGTATGACAATGGATATACGTTAACTCTTTATGAACCCTGTCAGAAAGTATTAAAGCTAACATGAATTTTTGCTCTTTCTGTTTGGAATAAGGTGGGTAAAAGCTAATCTTCAGCGCAAAGGGTTCAGTGGCATAGTTCAGAGCAAGAGATGGTTAACGCTGTAAAATTTTCCCATATCTGGTGTGAATGACAGAACTGATTCTGCCTTGAAAAAAGATGAGTAAGAGGCTACTTCACACATATATTTAAAGTAGCTATGGATGAGTATAAATTTAAGTTTGAACTATTTGAGGTCATTGAACAAGCCAGATGTACTAAAAACATGATTAGAATAAAATAAGACAGGCAAAAATATTTAGATCTGATCCATTTTCCCATTTTTTCATTTTCTCTCTTCAGTCTCTTCCACCTTTCCCTTCCCCTTTTTTTTCCTTACCTTTTCTCAAGTAAGATTTTCAAAAGCACAGAGGAGTAAATCACTACCATGAGGTAGCCAGCTGTCCCTCTGACACACTGAGCTGGAATGTTATTCTCCCTCCCCATCGCCAGCTCCGTGCAGGCTTTGTCCACCACTTCATGTTTGTACGGCACCTACTGCAGGGAGTGCCTGTTCCCCTTCAGCTCCTAGGCACTGCTGCATTAAACATAGTAATAATGAGTAATGTTGCCTGGGAAGAGGATCCCAGAATGAGCATACTGGAGAAAGTCCTCTCTTCTTTCCCAGCTGGTTTATTGGGAAGGCAAATATCAAAAACTGTACTCTTTAACTGTACTTTTAGCTTTACTAACAGGGCTGGTTGGTGTGCCCTGTCTGTGACCATGGGCACAACCTTGTCCCAGACTGAGACTTTCAAAGAAACCCAAGTGAATGAGGTGCCCTCAATGCCACTGAATTTTAAACCCATTTAGTGTCTCTTTGCAAACCATGGCTTTCAATAACCTTGTAATTTCCAAATTTCTGTCAGCCATTTTTCAATCAACACGTTAACTCCCAGCTGGCTTGCATCAGCTATCATGCTTGCACATAAGAACTATATTATTTTATTGTAATTTCATGTTTAACCTCCCCTTCCTCCCCGAATAGTTATTTATGTTACATGAGGTAGATATTCTCTAGGTTCATGAAGCTCCAGGGACAATGCATAGGAAGGACTTCAGCATCTAGCTTTGAGGAACAATAAATGTACATGTTACCATTAATAATATCAAAGCATTCTGATTTATTTCAGGTTTCAGGTTACAAGAAATGGCATTTCATGTTACAAAAAAACAGAGTTATTCCTCTGTTACTGTGTTTAATTAAAACCTCACAGATGCAATTTTTCCCCAGGATGGAGGGGAAAAAAAAACAACACCAAAAAAACTCCCACTACAATTGTGAGTCTTTTCATAATGGGATGCCTGAAATGTGTTTTGTCAGGTGTAGTCTGGGAGAACTTTCCCAGAGAGATGTATGCCTATATGGATAGCCAGTTGTCTTCAATGTGTACCTGACACATATTCATCATCACCTGCCAAAGCTGTCTGTAAAACATCAGCTGATCTCCTGTGCTTTAGAATGGAACTTCTGAAATGTCTTTTATTTCAGTTTAATTCTAGCTTGCATAAAATCCCTAGCAATTTGGTCTCTGGATCTTTTTAACCAACAATTCATTCTTGAACTTCTTGAAGTAAACACAACGTGACTGTCTTTGGTTTTACCTGCATGGGTAACGTGCTGGAGCTGGGTGTGTCAGTGCCGGTTCTTCCCATTTCTTGAGTGCAATTAAAATACTGTGTTATGAAAATGATCATGCAAGAGTTCAATTAGACAAAGGAAACTTTTTATCCAACTGACTTCCTCTGAAATTCCAGGAAGGAAACGTGATTTTTCAAGTTGGAATTCAATCATTAAGTCTACCTAATTGCTGCCTAGGGAGTTTTAATAGCTATAGATGTTCAGGACCTCATTATAAATGCAACGTGAAGATTACCAATAAGTAACACAGTACCTCTGGAATGATGTGAGAAAGATTGATTTGTGAATCAGAGGGGTAAGAGTGCTACAGATTGAATTACACACCCTCCTTCCTTGAGAAACCATTTTTTTTTTGTCTTGTATAACTCCATATCCAAATGCTGATCAGACCTGATCCTCATTTATTTGTGATCTGGTCGGTCTGTTACTCTAGGGAGGACAGGGGATAGCTTTCAAGTCCTGTATTTAGAGAACGGGGAACAGAGCTTGCTAGCTGCCACACCAAAATTTCATTGTGAAACTGAAGCCTGACAGCCCACCTGTTTCATACATTTCAGAAGGCAAATAACAAAATTTCTAGCTCTGACTCAAAAATGCTTATTTAAATCTACGGTCTTCAGATTCCTCTGCCCTTTTCCTTGGTTTCCCTTCAATGGCATGTGATACTGAAAGAGATATGTTTGCTTTCACAAAGCAAAAGTAATCACAGTGCAAATAAAATAACCTATTTTATTATAAAAAGCTTAAGGTTGATCAGTGAACTGCTGTTCTAACTAGATGTTAGCAAGGAAAACATGATTACCTGAAACATTCAAACTGCTGATAAATCTCCATGCCCAGAGCAGTCTTATTTGGACAGGATTTTCAGTTGTTAGAGAAGTTTTACTCATAAATTGAGTATCTCAGGTCATCATTCATTTTTGCATGTAACCCTGGCAGGGGTAACTCCTCAAACTCACTTATTAATCTTATTTGTGAATAAGTCTCCAGAATCGTTCAGGAAACCAGTGATATATTTTGTCACATATAAGGAGGAGAGAGCTCCTTCAGTATCTTGATAAAGACAATAAATTCAAGAGTTCAGCTACCCACCCCACTACGATTTCTTGCTTTTGTCTTTAGCTGTGCTATAGGAGTGAAATTTCATTCCTCCTCTCTCTCTTGTGTAGTTACATAGACTCTCTCCCTGAGGAATTTGCTGTGTTTTCTTACATATATGTGAGGTAACTTCTCAAGAGGGCCTTGGTCTCCACCTTGCAGGCATTCTGTGCTCCTGTGTGGAGCCTCTCCGTGCATGTCTGACAGTAATAAAAGCATAGCTTCCTAGTACCCAAACGTCCTGGGTCAAGTAAATCAAGTGAAGTCATTGGATCTACAATTCTGTTTGTTTATCCATTTGCCAGAAAAGGCAGAACATACAGGCATACAGAGGTCTCATATTTTTTGTTCATATATCATTCTACATTTATGTCATTGCTAACTTTTAAATAAAAGGCAAAACAGCTTTTAGAAATAGATCCAAGTCAGTTGTATGACTGTACAGTGGACTTTTCCTCAGTCTTTTGACTGTTTGTCCCTATTCTGCTCATTATATTACCTTTGCCTGAAAGTGTTTTACCAGCAAGTATTTTGGCACAGCTAAATGTTTCTCTTGCCCTTCCAGAGTCTTCCAGAGTAATGCGAAGGTATCACATATTGGCCCTGGACTGTGGAAAGACTTAACTCTAGCAATCTGTTTGGTATTTGTGAGGTTGAATGCAGTGCTTAAATTTAATGAGAATTCCAATTTATCACAAACACTAAATTCCACTTCTAAATAAAGAGAAGGAGATTTCCTTTTGAGGCTTCACTTTTAGTTTGAATGGCAACATTAAAAATTTATGAAGCTGAAGGAAGCAATGGCAATGGAAACACAACTTCTGTCTCACCAGATCTATAAACACCTCATACTGGTAACAACAGAGATATGTGCTCTTCAGCCTGAAGGCTACTTGGGGGGTTTGTCAATGGTACAAGTTTTCTCCCAGTAGGTAACAGCTCTCAATGTCTGTCTGATGGCAGTGTCCTATTGTAGTGCCTCCTCCCCTCACTGTGCTGGTGATTTACTCTCCCATATATCTTTTTCTGCTGAACAATATCTTTAAAGTCGTAGATTGAACTTTTATTGCGTTGTCAACCGTGAACATTGCCGAGCTGTGCCCTTCCTTCCCACAGGGAGGATAGTGCTGTCTACCTGGCAGGCCTGGGAACCGTGGGGCTGGAGGTCTACGAGCAGGTGCCAAAGCTGGACGCAGTGATTTTCCCTGCAGGAGGCCACTGTGGCTTGCTGGCAGGGTCAGCTGCTGCACTCAAACACCTCAACCCACGAATTTCTATAATTGTAAGTTTCTTTTCACCTACACAGTGTTGCATCTGGGCACCTTTCACCACAGCTGTTTTCAAAAAGCACTGGTACCTAGTGATACACTGGCAGAGGCTGCATATGCCAGGGACAGGGACTACCTGATCCCATGAGCTTCACCTGGGAGAAGAGCCTCTGAGAGCCTGGGAAGCCTTCTGTCCCTTGGCTGCTTGGCTGGACTTGAGAAAAAATGTGGGAAGACTCTTCCAAAGCAAATGAAATACAGTCATGTGTTTTTAAATAATTTCTTACAGGAAAAAATTTTGCCCTTAATAAGCCACAGGGCAAGTTTAGTGATAGCACATTTATTATGCAATTTGAAATTTGTTGTTTAATTGAAGAGGAAACGTTGTGTAGCTTTTTTTTGGTGTCCACTTTGGTGGTGATTTCTGTTATAACTGGATCAATAAAAAAAAGTGACAACACTTGTCTTCCCCAGGGGGTTGAATCTGAAAGTTTCCCTGTATTGCAACAGTCCTTAAAGGCTGGCCACCCAACTGAAGACCAGGCTTGCAACAATCATAACTTTTATGGAGGTAAGAAAATGTGTTGGTTTTTTTGGAGGTAAAATAAAGGTTATAATTAATTTATCCAACCATATTATTGTCTCACTAATTCAGTTCAAACATATTTTAAAGGAAGTATCTGAGGAGTCAGAATTTAATTCAATCCGTAAGGGCAACTTCTGCCACATATCTTCACCACCACTACCCTGGGGCACAGTACAATTTCCAGTGCACACTAAATGTTCAGGTGAATCCTTAGAAATATGAGAGTATTTATCTGACTACTGTCCTCACAAGCAGCATCTTAACCAGTGAAGTCAATGGGAAAGCTCTTGTGTAAAAGACTAATTTGCAAAAAAGGCAGGAAAATGTGGTGCCTAAATATTTAGACTCACAAAACTGTTCCTGGAACAACAGTGTTTATAAACAATACAGTTGTTTCCATGTTATTTGATAAAAAACCCTCAGCTGTTAAGAAATTTAAGAATATCCTGTCTCCCTGATGTTCAGATCTCTGGAAGCTTTGGGTTAAATAGGAGTTTTATAAACAAACAACTTCTTAACTCTCTCAGTAAGCTCTGCCTGTCTCTGCGCTCCCTTGCTAACTGTCCTGCTGTAGATAACAAACCCAGTGTCACGCTTGGTTCTTCCCTTCTTTAAGCCTTGCTGAACACTGAAAAGTGCTGGGCTGCAGGGTCACTCTCACAGTGCTACTATGCCAGTGAAGAACCGTAATTTTCTTGAAGGGGTCCCAAATGGCAAATCTTCCTGGGAGATTTGGTCTTTTATTACCAAATGCATTTTCATCATATAAAAAAAAATGAAGCAACTTAAAATCACATAACATCAGTGTGCTGCACTCATTAAGGGCACAAAACAGTCAGGACTGTAAAAAACGTTGAACTTGTCTACAGCAGCCAGTTTCATACTTTTGTCTTTTGAAATCCGCAGATGTAAGCGGGCTTTGCTTTGGCAGCAATTCTTTGCAGCTGACTGGGAAACTTGTGGATAAAGTTGTTTCTGTGAGGTAGGTGAAGAAAAGCAGTGAAATGAATAATGCTGGGTGAGCATTGTTGTATATGAAAAATATGCTGGACCACCAGAGTGTGGTGGTTCTTCATGTACAGTGGAGAGCAGGTTGGCAGGAGCTGCCATCATGAACATGAGATGATATGAGAGCATCGTGGTGGGTGAGGTGCCTTTCCTTCTCAGAGGGGCACTGGAGACACTGAACCCAATCCCTTGTATCAATGAATCATAGAATATTTCTAGCTGGAAGACACCCATAAAGGGTCATCGAGTCCAACTCCCTGCTCCTCTGAGGACTACCTAAAACTAAATCGTATGACTAAGAGTGTCATCCAGACTGACCCCTTTGGCCAAAACTTCACCTGCTGCCAGTACTTGGTAACACTCCGGATGTAAAACTTATGCTTGTTGTGTTCTATGACACCTGAAGGCAGCCTTTGACAAAACTCTTCTAAACCTTCAAAGAAAGGCCAAGCTGGCAGAATATACTTACCACTAGGATTTAGCTAGCACAGTGGTTCTAGTGAAAAATGCCACCCCATCTTTCAGTTAATTACAAGACTGAGATGTACATTCACCCCCAGTAGCACAGTTTTTTTGTAACACCACCTCAGGGTCATATGCACCTGGGAGGATGGAAGGAATCCAGTTATGTGTTGTCTTCTGCTTTTGGTAGCTCTTTTGTTTTGTTTTGACACACCTCTTCTGCCTTCAGGGAGGAGGACATCCTCGTTTCGATGCTGAGATTGCTGGAGTGTGAGAGAGCCACGGTTGATGCAGAAGGGGCCATTGGACTTGCAGCGCTGGTTGCAGGGAAGCTGCCCGAGTTGAAGGGTAAAAGGTATGGCAGCTACTGCAGACAGGGAACTGTGGCAAAAGCATGGGGTTGAGTGCCTTGGTCCCAGGAAACAGAGGGAAGATGCTTGTTTTATGAGTGATGAGGCAGTTCCTGCCCCTGAACTGGCAGTGGTCTTATCTGTGGCATTTGCTTCAGGCTGAAGAGATCACTCCCAGGCCAGAAGACCATGTTGAACAAGACAGATGTGAGCCTGGAGACCTGACAAACCTTATCATTTTCCTGTATTCTCAAATGGTTGGTGAAAAGGCACACACAGCTCCACAAAGCATGGTCACATCTGCCAGGAGAGCATCCTGCTCTTGTCAGCCTGTTGCCATCTCTCATTCTGCTTGTGGAAATCAGCCCTGTCTGTGGTGGGACAGGAGCTAGGATGTCTCCTGCAGTTGTTCAGTGACACCTGCCTCCCAGGCCCAAGAACTCCTGCCCACATAGTCAATGGATTACCCTTGTGCTTAGCATTAGATGTGTGGGTAAGTGCCTTGCTGCATCTGGGCTTGAGTACTGAGTAGTTAAGTGGATTGAGCCTTGGCTCAGAACATAGTCCAGGATGTGTTTAAACATACATGCACTCAAGACAAAATGACTAAAATACTGCTGATGCAGTTCTTCAGAAGACGCTGTCAGAGAACATACAGAGCAGCAGCAGATTTCAATTCAGTACAGCTAAAATAAAACAGAAAATGTAAAGGTCTGGGTTTAAAGAGGTCAGGTTTGACTCTGCAGAGAGGGGTTATCACGGCCTACACATGTGGCTCTTCCTTCCCCTTCAAATGTTTCTGCACTAATTTTGCAGGGTCGAGATGGATTCAATCAACGGTTATAGAAAACATTGAACATACATGTTGTCTAACCATTAAGAAGCTGAGGCTCTGAACTTCTAGGATAAAATTATGTCACATTTTTAAAATTTGAAACAGACCTAGAATTCTCTAGCTAATTATCCTTTACAAAACTAAAATCTCCAGGAAATGCAAAATGAAAACAGACTTTCAGACCAAGTAATGCAGCCAGCTTCTAGGCTCCTGCTGCCTGCCCACAGCTGATGCTGAGAGCCAGGAGGTCCTCGGACATGTAAAGTGTATTTATTGAAGAATGGTCCTAGCAGTTCTTAAGCTGATACTGAATACAGTGCCCGTGATTTATGGTTCCTTTGCACAGACAAGTGCTAATCAAATATCCCATTTTTTTCTCTCTGTTTTCAGAGTGGCAATTGTTATATGCAGTGGAAACTTGGAATTACATTTGCTGCAACAATGCATAGCTCGTGCCCTGACCCTTGATAACAGAGTGTGCAGATTTTCCTTGGTGCTTTCTGACTGCCCGGGAGATATTTCAAAACTACTGGAGATTTTGGCTCGGGAAGAAGCAAGGTAAATCAGACTAGTAGTAAAGAAATATAATCACAGAATAGTACAAAGATTATTAAAGATTTGGACATGTTTCCAAATGTTCTCTGAAGGCAAGTATGTAAGAAACTACTTAATCAAAGGTTTTTTTCTTGCTGTATTTTAGAAAAACTCTACTTCCTTCATTTTTGTTCCAATGTGAAAGCACCTTCACAGCGTAGGATTTGTGTCTAACACAGAAAGCAGAAAAGATAGCTACTGCCCAAACACTTACAGAAACAATTTTACAATGACAAAGAATTGCTGTGATCTCTAATTTGTCCCGTATTTGATCTAGAGTTTTGGATATCAAACAAGAACGTACGTTTGTGACATCTGAGCTCTTCACTGTCGAGGTAAGATGAGATGCAGTTTCAGTTTCTTGAGCAGTACTGACCTCCCCTAGTTTATTCTCTTTTCCTATATCTCTATATGACTATGTTGAGGAAGTCCAATAGAGTGTGCACAGTGGTTTGGGGAGCAGTGTGGTAGATAATTTCTTGTGTGTTATACAGCATCTTGCCTCACCGTGCTCTTGTCAGGCACACAAATAATACAGAACCAGTTTTACCTGCTGTTGTGACACCGTGGGTGAAATACTCCAGCTGTTACCATTGCAAACCTTCCTTACGTGCATGGTGGTGTGCTGGAGGTGGTGAGCAAGCTGCAGCATCCGGCCAGAACTTGAAGAGCCACCTGTGTAGGCTGACTGCAATTATCTGAGATCAATTTGCCTTAAAGCAATGTGGAGAACATCCTTACTCTTCAGGAATCCTTGTTCTTATCTAGGGCGCCAGTTTTGTACCTTATCCACAAAGAGCACAGAGCAAAGTCATTATTCCTTTGTTGAGTATTTGATACAGTAGCAGTGAGGAGGTGTTATCAGTTAATGGCATCCCTTAAAAGGATCATTTGTTTCATGGCATATCTTTTATTTCAACTGGTTTAGCAATGGTGTGGTTCCCCTGATTTCATGCTCCTGCTGTCTGAATCCAACCTGACTTAGTTTGTGAAATCACAGGTGGAAGTCAAATTAGGGATCTTTGCTAAACCAGCTTATTACTGGAATTCAGTAATGCTGTTGAGTAAGCAAGTTCTTCCATTTTGGCATTTAAATCTGATTTCCCACCTGGATGCAAAAAACATCTCAGTATTTTCCCTAGCAGATATAAAGAATAGACTAGATTAAAGATGACTATAATAAAGGACGAATAAAAGTTCACGAACGTCTTTCAGAACATGATATTATCAGTTTTCTCAAGTGTCTAGGACTCAAGCTACATTGTTCCGCAGTGTGCTGTTAACAATAGGCCCACTTACTAGTTTGGGTAGCTTGAAGATAATGTGACACTGTATGGGGTAGAAAAATGCCTCTGATTCAGCGACTAACTTAGCTCTGAAATACCTTTTAACTGAAGGCTAGGTTCAACAAATCCTGTAATTTCTAAAGTTTTCAGTGTGATTTTTATGAAGCAAGGCTTGTAACATTTATTAATGCTACTAAGTAAATTAAACAAAATCCTCTCTCTTAGTCTTTGATTCAGAATGTTAGAACAATTTTCCATTGCTGTTGCAGCCTCTCCTAATGAGGCAACTTTATCAGAATCTGCAGTAAATGCAGCCCCTGAATTAAAAAGTGCCATGTGCTATTGTCTGCACTTTAGACACAATGTATTGTCACTGACCGTCCACTTCAAGAATCTGACAGTGTTGTACTACAAGAGGGTTGAAGGAAGGAATTTGCATCCCTGAGTAATTTAACTGGATGTTGGATTTGCATTATGGCTTTTAATCAGTCTGGGAGAGGCTCTTGGTTAATCAGATGTGAAGTACAAAGTAGTGATCCAGATTTATAGACCTCAGTGACTTTGGAGGCAGCTCTATCTGGTGACACCTAGTGAATCATGAAGCTTTTATTTGAAAACTAAACCAAGGGTAACTAAAAAAAACAGAATATTGAATTTATCTTTAAGCATGGAAATGAATTTGCTCTAACCAGATACAGAAAAATGTATGTATTTTCATAGTAAAGCTAATATGCGTGGGGGAGGTTTTGCTTTTTTCTTTGTTGGTTGTGAGGGCCAAAGCCCTGTGTCGGCAAAGCATTTTAAGCATTTGCTACGAAAGCAGACCTGCAAAGACCTTTGTATCATTTTCATCAGTGGAAATCACAGCACATTAAATTAAGCATGCATTTAAATCTGGATCAAGAACCAAAATTGTCACTTGTTGAACTGATGGTAATAATAAGAAAGGCATTACAGCTATACTCACTCCACTCTGACTTCAATGCATGGTTTCAACTGTGGATGTAGATGAAATGTTTGACAGAACAGAGCAGTAAGTGTGGTGACTTATTTGAAACACTAAATCAGTCCTGTCAAGATTGTCATTTCGGCATTTAATCATCCTTTTAGATTTACCCTTCATTTCCACAGGAGAGAAACTTGGCTTCTAGTCACTGCTCATCAGGAAGTTAGAGCATTTTTTTTCCCCTCTGGTGAAATGCCGTGCTGGGTTGGTGTTTACTCATCTGGTGCATGCTTGGAATCCTCCCTGGAAAGTTCCTTGCTGATGGTCTGATTGCATGGAGTAGTAAGGACTTTCTTTTAGAAAGCTTTATGTTCAAACTACACCTCTGGAAAAAATAACTTTTGGAATACTTTACTGGCAAAAATAATAGATTTTTTTAAATTAAAAAAAAAATATTTAGGGCTACACTAGATTCAGCTGATTCTTAACAAAGTGGCTTGTGCAGTGGGATCAGCTGGCCATGTTCCTTAGAACAATATGGGAGTTTCTTTTGGATACTGCCTGCTCATACCTCCAATTTAGATTCTCTTTCCTTGTGTCTCATACTGCATTTCTGTCTTGCAGAGGACTAAACCCTAATTCACTCTTACCTGAGCAGTTAGGAAGTGGCTTCCAAAGTCCCAGCATTGAAATAGATAACTCTTAGCAAGTCATACAAATAAACACTCTGGTAGGTGTCACATTTTAGAGCTAGTGAAGCAGGTTAGATGACCAGGAATATCTAGACAGAAATCAGAGCTAAGGAAAATATCATCTAGTATCACCAGTTAACTGGATATAGAGATCTAAAGGATTAACCAGTTCTTGGGAGTAAGCTACAACTTGCTTCTGTGAATTTTCCCTGTTCTTTATCTGTAACATTCCTCAGTTCAATGTGGGACAATTTATCGCTTAAATTGCTTCCATCTGTAAACGTCTTTATAACCACTTAAATCCCTTTAATTTCCTATTATCATTGACTCAGAGAGAAGTCAATGAGCAAAATCAATAAGCAACTTAATAAGGTAAGAACTGTTTTTGCTCTAAAGCCCTGCAAGGCTCTGCTGTACAACACCAGCTTGCCTGCTAAATGGGTGTCTCATGTTCAGACTCAGGCAACTCAGCTGAAAAAGAAATATCTTTGAGCTCATCAAGTTTCTAGAAAGTCTTCTCCTCACCACTGAAACTGCAACATAAGCAGACTGGCAGGTACAGGAGGGTCCTGGACCAGAGGCAGCAAGGGCCTGCAAGATCTTGAGGGGCTCTAGCAGCTTTACAGAGAAGCAGATGCAGTGGCAGTTTTCCCTCTGACCTCGGTCCTGTTTGATGTTATGGGGTTGTCTGGTCTTTCACTTCAAGCCTCTCGGGAGCTTAAATCTGCTGTGGTTTTAAATAACTCAGACCAGTTGTAAAAAGAACATCCATCATGCTACTTCTCCCTCTGACTGTGCAGCAAAATACTAATTCATAAATCAAATGTTGCTTTTTCTTTACAATAACATTACACATTGTCCCAGTGGTGCTGGGTTTCCTGGCTCACTTTGTGTGGTGTAATATCTGGTTTTTCCCTACAAAAAACCTCAGGCCAGAACTCGTTAAATTATTTTAGTCTGCTCTGGTTAATTTGAATAAATTCCTTTGGGCTAATTTGCATTTTGTAGAAGACCAGAGGAGAATATTTTGGATTAGAGTCCCTAGTTGCCAACATATCCTGTATTATTGTCATGTGGAGACAATATAGAGGAACACACAGCTATCCAGCTATGAAGAAGGATGCTATAATTCTTAAAGCATTTCCTGCATCACCTGGGCAATACACTGTTTCCGTGCTTCTGTTCCCCATCTGCAAAATGGAGGTGTTTGGAGTGTGAAGTTTGACAACACTCTTCTTCTGAGGCTCTCAAAAATAATCCGGTCATTTTCTTTAATGCTGTTCCACAGCAGACTTACCTGGTATAGAATAGCCTGTCCCAGTTGTGGAAATAAGAACCTGAATCCGGGGAGGCTAAGAGGAAACCTGTTGGTTATTATCTGACTTAGGGAATGTGACGGTAACTTGTTTGTGTTCGTGCTTGTGCTCACTGACCTCAATGCAAGAGTATGCCAAAAGATAAGGGCTCAGGTTGCACAACCAGGTGACAACTGTGGCAGCTGTTGCACTCTTCTCAAGCATTACATTGCACTGACCTTGGGGGCTATCTAGCAGCTGATCCCCAAGCCATAAACTGAAATGCTGTTGACAAATAATCTGCAGTGTGCAGTAACCTACACTGGGGGTTTACTGAATACTTCAGAAAATTGCCCAGTTGTTGACTTTTTTAATAGACATGAAAATCCTTGCTTTATTTATAGAACTGAAGCCAGTGTATATAAATAAATGTTTCATGTCTAACTCCAGTGATATTCGTGCAAACAAACCTAGACTGGTGCTGAGCATGGTGTATAATGAATATCAAGTTATATGAATTCTCCGAGACCAACAGCTTAGAAGAAGAAGGTGAATGTGGTTTCTAGGATTAAAGAAGTAGGATACAAAGGTTCAGTGGATGAGCCAGGGACATAAGGAATTGCACTAGCTGGTTACAACCTATGTTTACACAGAGTCTGGAAAAACACAAAAGACTGAAATCTTTTGATTGAGCAATGCTACTCACATTTCCCCTGCTTTCTAGCACTGGCTCAGCATGTTCACCCAATATCTTTATTTGCACACACAACCTACAGATATCAGGTATCAGAGAGCTGAGAGGCATGCCAAATTGGTCCCTTCCAGTCTCTAATATTCTGCGATTCTGTAAGAAACTTCTTCACGGTGAGGGTGACAGAGCACTGGAACAGGCTGCCCAGAGAGGTTGTGGAGTCTCCTTCTCTGGAGACATTCAAAGCCTGCCTGGATGCGTTCCTGTGTGATCTGATCTAGGTGTTCCTGCTCCGGCAGGGGGATTGGACTAGACGACCTTTCAAGGTCCCTTCCAATCTCTAACATTGTGATTCTGTGATTTTATGAAATTAATTTTTAATATTTAGAAAAATATGATGTAAAAGGCTAAGTGCCCACATGTGAGACTTGCAGTGAAAGGGGAGCAGAGGTGCCCACTCTGTTGCCCAAATTATTCAGCACAGAACTTTGCAAATGTCCTCCTTTTGTGAAGTTGTAAACTTTCCTCTCTTTGAAATGGAACAAATTCCTATGAATATTTTAATTCCTGCATCTGGATTTTGGTGTTGCACAGAGTAATAACTTGTGATCAATATTTTCCTTTATCTTTTGTTCAGAATTTGTCCTGCTCAGTCAATTATTGCTAGTTACTAAATAAAACCTACAATACATCAATATTCAGGGAAGACTGTTCTGTCTTCCATTACTTGTACACCTGCTATTAAAAAACCCAGCAGGCTAGCTAACCCCTTAGGCTGGAATCAGCCTTTAGATTACCTGCCACAGAGAGCAGAACTCTAAATGCAGTAAAAGATCCATCTGGCTGGTTATTTTAACAGTCTCACAGGGGCAGATAACTCCTTTATTATTATTATTATTTTAATCCAGCAAGGATATAATATGCAGGAGAAAAATACATAAAATGTTCTCATTTTTTATTGTTGATTTTGTGGGGTTTTTTGATACACAGAAAGGAAAGGTCTGCTGTGCCAATGTGGTCCTGCAGTCAGTGAGAGCTCTGCTGGATCAAAAAGCCTCTGGCTGGGACTGAGGGCTTCTGGGTTTGAAACAAATTAAGTAAAGTTTTCTTTAGTTGTCAGGGGTTATCTTCTCTGGAGTATAAGAATCATCAGGCAATAGGCTTTGTCATTTGTTCTTAGATAAAACCAATTTGGAGCACTTACTCTTAGGTCATCAGTAGGTATGCAACCTCCTGTAGCTAGCAGCACCTAGGTGACTCTTCATCCTAGATAAATATAATCCTCATATACCTCTCCATGAATTGAGGATTGCCCTGTTGGACTCTCATGTAAATCATACTTCCCAGGTGAAGTGAATAAGAGAGAGAGAGGTTCTGTGCAGGTAAAGCTGAAGTGTAAATTGGCTTAATCTGAGCAAGAAAGCAAATTCTTGCCTTCCTTGCTGCTTAGATCTGCAGCTGCTCTAAAGTATAGAGTGATTCACTGTTTGCTCCTGCTGTGAGCAAACATTCTCTCTTCCTCTATTTGACAAGTGTAAAAAATCAGGTAAATTTCTGGAGCTGTTTATTATTTCTGCTGCTGTTGTTATTACTTTTATAGCACGCTACAGCTATTAATGGCCATATCCTGTGTTGGATGCTGTGCACGCACAGAACAAGAAGACAATATTTATCCAAAATGTTTACAAGCTCTCTGGCTCTAATCTATCCAAGTCTGTCTGGCTTCAATCATTAGCAGAAAGAAAAGGGCAGAGAGGAGGATTGTTGGCTCTGTAAATCAAAATGCTTTCCCATGCTTGCTCCCAGGGCAGAGCAACTGCTTGTTGACAAACATTCAAAGCCAAATCTGACAAGTCCACGCTGGTTCCAAGCACAGCAATTGGTTTGCTCAGGACAAAACAGGCATGATTGCTGTGGAAGGGGACAAAGGTTGCTTAATTACAGCCTCCATGAGAGAAGATGTGTGCTCTCGAGGATATGACTGCAAAGCTTTAGGGATTTTATATGAACCAGGGAATGGATAACAAGTTAGTTGGTAATTTGGTTCCTAGATATCCTTCAAAAACTTTTCCCAGTCTTTGTGTTCTCTTCTCTTCCTTCATTATTAATTGTCTTCTGTGACTGTCCTTGTGAGGCTAAATCCCACTTTTTCAGAGGAGAAAGAAATTAGCATCTAATTTGTGTTCCAAAGAACCAAACAACAATAGAACTACGTTAAGGATAAGAGGAAAGGAATAACGGAAACAGACCAGAAATGTGGCTTATTTAATGATGAATATTTAAGAAGCTATAGACAGTTTTCTACTTAAGTGAGCTCATGGCTATTTAGAATAAACTGGAGTTAGTGTTTTATCTTCTCATTCAACAGTTTTGCTAAAGGTTTATTGTTACTTTAAGCTCATTCCCAGAAACATTAATTCACTAGGTTCTCTGGAAATGTCCTCAGAAACATATCTGAGTAGAGACAATTTTAATTTTTGCCTTGTTGCTTTCTGTAAAGGATGCAGCTCTAATAGGAACATTATACAGAGCATCTGTCTCTAAAAATCCACCTTAAGGTTACCACGACCAGTTTTTTCTCTATTCTCTGTAGATCTGCCTGTTACAATAAACACTCTGTTGTTGCACCGTGACTCATCTTGGATTCTTTCCTTGCTAGATTTCTATGTTTCTGTGAGGTCTTTTTTTCCACGTGGCACTTTCAACATCAGTGATAATTTCTGCAGGGTCAGAGGAGAAGGAAGTTAGTAGTCTAAAATTGTGAAGTATCATTTTCCCTCTTCAGCTTCACATTGGTGCAGAGCCAATGGTAGCACCTGGATTTTCAAATGATGCAGAAGAAATGCGGGTATGTAGAAAAGAGGGATCAGAGACAAATTGAAAAAAATGGCATCAAAGTTATTGTCTTCAGTGGCTGCATGACAGGATTGTCAATAATACTTGTGGATGCAAGTGAAGAATAAAAAGAAAACTATCAAGATTAGGTTTGCCTGGGTTTAGTTTGATTTAGCAGAACAACCATAACAGCCAGAATATTGCAGAGAATATAAAGGACTGGGGGATAACTCCATGAGAGAGAGAAGGAGGAGAAGGTAAAAGGCTTGAAGGATGGAACAAACATTTCCCAGAATATGAAAACGTGGTGAGGTGAGAGTCAGAGATGGGTGAGGTGGCAGCAGCACCTCGTACATACCCCAGGGAATGGAAAAGCGAAGCTGCTAACAGATGACTTCAGGGAGGCCAGCAGCAGACAAGTATTTTGCCCAGGAGCCAGCAGAGGATCAGTCTATCTTCTTCAAACTGTGAAGGCAATAAAGTAGGGCTGTTGGAAGGCTTTAAGATCATGCAGAAGGGCTGGAAGAACCCCAGATGTCTGCAATGTCAGTTTTACCTGCATAGATAGAGGATGCACAGTCCAGAGTTTTTACATTGAACCGATCATTTTGCTCTTACGAGCGTGTTTTAGGATTGAGTTGGAAATGCCTTTGTCTGAGATCATTGCCATGCCGTCAGGAATGTTCCTAATTCTTTTCCCAGGTCACCTGCACCGTGGAGACCAGAGACAAGATCCACACAGCCCAGCTGAGGAACGCACTCCTGGAACGCTATCCCATGGCCGTCTGGACCGAGCGGTGATGGGCACAGCAAAAGGGAAAGGGCTGAGGTCTTCTGAGAAGTATTTTACAGAGCCCTCATCTTAAGGTACTCAGAACAAAGATTATCTTTCAAAGCTGAACAGTTAGCAAATAGTTTTAGGATATTTATTTCCTGCTCCAAGTATAGAGGAGGTCCTTGGGGATAAAGTTAAACTCAAAACTTCAGCTTAGCTAAGGGAAAATTTTAGTCTCTGCTGGTGTTGGAATTGAATAACTCATTATCAGCTGGTTGTCTGGATTTTGCCTAGTATGTAGGATCCAATGGCATTCAATAAATAAACAGGGAGAATGCATTTTTCTTTATATCTGAATATAGACTCCTCAAAGGTCTTTTGATTTTGATGCCCCTGGTTAAAGTAATGCAGCTCCTCCTGTTGGACTTTGCCCTGCTACTAGTATAGTAATATTCTATTTCCAAGCCAGAAGAAGTTCTCCATTTGCTGAATCTGTGTCAGGAGATACGTACATGTGTGTCAGTGTGGGCTTGAACATGCTCCTGTTCTGATATTTGCTATCATGTGAGGAAAAGTTATGCTAACAAAATGCATTTTAAACAAAACCAAAAAAACTCTTGGAAGATAAAAGACAATACTGTATTCATCTTTTTCCAAGGGAAAATGATACTACTTATAAAGTTCCAAAAGATGTTGCAGCAATGAAAAAACAACAAAACCATATTCTGAATATAATCAGACCTCATATGCACAACACAAATGCAATTCTTCCCTCTACTTCCCTCTACTTCCCTCTACTCAGTATAAAAAGTAGCATATAAAATTACTTATGTTTCTTTATAAAAAAGAGTCTCTCCATCCATGTGAATTTTGTAATTAGCATTCCACTGATCATCTTAGTCTGCCTAAAACAGACTCTATCCATCTCACCTGACAGATTAAGTACAGTGTTAAGAATGAAATACACTTAAAGAACACATGTTAATAGCCAAAGGCAGTGTGGGGAGAAGAGAAGACTAAGTCTTAGGCACATGTCTAATGCAATTAACAAAGAACACATTGACCTAAATACCATTTTCATCACTACAGGCAGAGACCAACTAATAAGGTAACAGAGTGGGATGGCAAAAAATGTAAGAGAAATTCAGACCCACTTCTGAGTGTGCATACAACAGTTGCCTTTCCATTTGGGCAAAATTCAATTTAAGGCCAGCTGCAACAGAGCCAATATATACCATTCCGCTTGGTTAAATTTAATCAGGATTGACCCAAATTTTGGGTGTAGGTATTTTAGTGAGAGGTCTTAATCCTGCCTCCAACATATTAAGTTGATAACTAAGTACATAAAATAGATATGATGTATTTAGCAGTGCCATAGCAGAACCCAGATGAAAAGGTCAGAATGAGCATCTCCATGGGCTGCGTGGGATCAAATCGTTCTAGTTCCCATGTGCAGAGCTGGGTCAGTTATTGCTAGGTGTCTGTGAAACCCAGCTTACTGTAGCTTTTTGTGGAGAAAGATGCTGTGAGCCTATAGTGATGCTCCTTTGGTGTCATTATAAACTGAGCTTCCATCTTTAGTCCTCCCTTGAAGTTAGGACTGGGCTTTCTAGCATGTTTCCTTTCCTGGTGCTGCAGTGAGAAACTTCTGTCTCTAAAGCACAATTAAGAAATCATATGTGGAAGAGGAGATGGCCTGGGGTAGGCGAAAACTTTTTCTGCCCTCTCTTAACTGTAGTCCATCTGTAGGCTAGGAAGGGCATTATCCAGAGAGTTAGAGCAACCTAAACAGAGGGTCCCTGTGGACTAAAAAGAATGAACTGCATATCCAGTCTTATGCAGATCTCATTTGTTTTGTATCTACTGCTTATGGATATCCAGATATATCTATAACTCAACTTGTGCCTGCAAGGTGGGACGAAGAGGTCTGTCTCTGCAGTTCACTAATTTCGTCTGTTTTTTTGAAGGACCATGTTGTTTGCATGTGGAACTAAAAATTATTGATGCCCCAATGGTTAGTTTCTTTTCCTTCTTGCCATCCAGAATGATGGGTATAGGGCTTGGTCTCCAGAAGATGTCCTGTAAATCACAACCTATTAGACACAACTCTTTACATCATGGTCAGAAGAGTTTAAAAAATCTGTATATAAACATGTGATGACTGACTACATATTGTGTATGTGTTACTTCCATTGAAGCAAGCAATGAACCACATTATCAAAGAGGAGATTTGGGGATGTAAATTCACTATAAATAAAGGTCTAAGTATCCTCTCATCTCTTATGGCAAAACTCTCAGGAAATGTTGAGGAGGTCTCAGGTATCTATGTGAGAAGAGAATGGGACATTATAACCAATGTTCTCACCAGTGGCCAACAGCTTGTGCCTAGTCCTTGGTTTATTGTCCTGCATTATCCTGGGCTTTATTTTTCTAGAAGCTCAGAACATTAAGAACTTCTTTTCTAATCAGTGGGACCTGCATTGAGCAAGTCTTCACAAAACTGGGGCAAGAGAGGATAGAGCAACCAAAAATCAATGCATTAAAATCACTGTATGATTTTGAAAATGTGTTTTGGGGGAAAGAAAGGAAAAAAAGGGAAAAAAATAAAATTATGTCTAGAAGTTATTTAAAATGTCAAACATGATATATGCAGTTTGGTTTTATTTTTATTGTATTAAGTATAAACATAAATTGTAAATCACTCTTCAGCAGTAAACACTTTACATATAAATATAATGATAACAGAGTTGATTTACATTCTATGTTGCTTTTGTGCAAGTCCATTGGCTTTAAAGCTAAGATTAAATGCTTCCAAGGGAAAAAAACCCCAAAATTAAATGTTTAAATGAACGAATGCAATTGGAAAAATTACCGAAATATCTGTGCTGCTAACCTTTTTGCATTATGAAGTATAATAGGACTATGGCATCTCAAAGATATAATAATGTGTTTCAAAATGTTTCATTTAAAGATGTATTTTTAGCTAGAGTGTTCTTATGTACATTGAAAAAAAAAAGCTTTAATGATTATGTAAAAATTTCACAAATTTTTAAATCAGCAAAATGTAAATCTAAGCATTGTATTTATTCAAAAAATAATTAAAATTATGCCACCTCAGCAATGAAAGATTTGTCATTCTCTCACATGGTACTGATAGCAACCTTGCATTAAAAATTCAGGGTTCATTTTTTTCCTTTCTCTATCATTGACATCAACAGGAAATCCATGTCATTCATGCATGATGAGCTCTGGGCTGTCAGGGAGGAGAGTACAGCTGGGTGGGACTGCTGCAGGAGCCTGCCAGACTGCTCACCAGTGTGCCTGGGCGAGCATCCCTCCACACTGGCTTGGAAAGGGATGGTGTTTCAGGTACTGGGCCAGGTGCAAATTCCACCTTGCTGTGTTCCTCAGCAACATGTAGAGTCTGGGTCCAGAGGCATCCTGGGCTGGGCTCGCATGGGTGACTTAAGTCTGTGATATCTGGTGAATCGAATCTCAGAGATACTCATCACAAATATTGCGAACTTTGGTAAACCAGTCCTTCCATTTCAGAGTGCAGCAGACTCCACCATCTAAAGCACATGTTCATGCTCCAGTGGAAGAGGATGCTTTGACCCAGGTAATTCAGCTGCTCAGCTTTGAGAGCAGTCCTGTGAATATAAGATTTGTCATGGACACAGCACAAACTTCTTCCAAGGACTCATGCAAACAAGGCATACCTTTTACTGAAACAAAATCTCTTCCCACATTGACTTCTTAATTTTTTCAGCCAGGTCCTGTTAGCTCTGAATTAACTTCTAAAGCTCTGCCGCTACATGTTTACACAGCACCAGGAAAACTTCATGTCCCCATGCAGGTAACATCCTCACAAGTAGCACCTTGCCATCTAGCCTACTATTTTTGGAATATTTATGTGTGTTCCTCCTTCCCATCCCAAAATGCAGTAAGTGCGTTTCACATGCTGTACCAAAGTTTTGCTAGATCCAGACCTAGACATAGAATTATAGAATCATAGAATGTTTTGGGTTGGAAGGGACCTTAGAGATCATCTAGTTCCAACCCCCCTGCTATGGGCAGGGACATCTCCCAGTAGACCGGTTTGCCCAAAGCCTCATCCAGCCTGGCCTTGAACACCTCCAGGGATGGGGCATCCACAGGTTCTCTGGGAAACCTCTTCCAGTGCCCCACCACACTCTCAGTAAAGAAAATCTTCCTAATATCTAATCTAAATCTGCCCTCTTCCAGCTTAAATCCACTGCCCCTCATCCTGTTGCTACAAGCCCATGTAAAAAGTCTCTCCCCATCTCTCCTGT